ATTCTGGTCAGCCGTCCATCCTCGTTAAAACCCTAGAGGGTGATGTAACCGACGTGATCGTCATAATAGCGAGCTTGGATCATGTTGGTCTCAAATGGCCGATTATCAACTGGGTGTACCATGATCGATTTGCCGTCCCAAAAAATGAGAACTTAGTATAGTGATGAAGGCATGCAACTTGTTTGATGGATCCAATCACGGCCGAGCAATGCATTATAGTCAGTCTTTGAATCAATTATAAAGAATGCAGTCATGTGTTTACAACCGGCAATGCTGACTTCTAATGGGAGCACTCCTTTGGTTTGAGACTTGTCGCCGATGAAGCTGCTCATTGTTATCCCTGATGGGATAAGCTCGTCAGTGGAACGACGTAATGCCTTCATGACGGAAATCGACATGATGTTGACTATGGCTCCACAGTCGACAAACACCTTGGAAATGAGATATCCTTCAATATGAGCCGTGACGTATAACGGCTTTAGATGTTGGAGATTAACAGAGGGGGAACGAGGAAATAATTCGGCCAGGGCTACCTTAAGGTTGTCGTCTTTGCTGACTTTCCCATCTTCATCAGTAGCGACGAAATCCACTTGTGATGCTTTTTCAGCAACCACATCCCCGTCCAAAAAATTCAACTGATGGGTGCTTGGTTAAAACTCAGCCGGTAGGACATGGACCATACTGATCTCCATATGCTCGAGGACCGAGGGACCAATCGGATCTTGGTCGTCGTCTTCCAGAGTAGTGGATGTAATATTAGTCGTTGAAATGTCTTCACTTGGTCTATTTAGCACTTCGGTATGGACCTGCTCCTGAAGTGTATGGACTAATTCTATTCTATTCTGGTTATCTTCCTCGAACGTGTTTACTATTAAAGATTGGTTTCGTTCTTGTAGTACTTTACGGGCTCGTTCTTCGTAGGCGATTCAGGCATCCCTTGTGTCCAGGTATGTGTCTAAACGCACCACACAATTTTCCTCATAGGTCGTAAGGCCGAAAAGAGATACAGCCGAGAAAACTTCGAAATGATATCGTAAATGCTGAAGGTCTTCAAGTGAAAAGGGTAACTCGATGGTGTCTATATTTGTGTATGGGTCGACCTCAAAGCCGAGGACCCGAGCCTCACATATATGCTGGAACCTAGCTTTCATTGCTGGATCGGAAGTTTTTTGGATAATTTACTCGGCATCAGGGCAAGTTAGTGCTAGGTCGAGGGCTTCCTGACATGCCTTGGGAAGTCCGTATAAGTCATTGGCAGAATATTTCTTATGAAATTCTCGCATGTATTCCAAGGATTCACCGAGGAATGGAGGGTGCAGATTGCGCTGTACTTTGACTAAAGGTTCCTGCGGTGGTAACGGGGGAAATTTTTTTTCAACCTTTTGTCCAAAAATGCTTGAGACGAGCTCTCATCTCCCCAGGCCGAAGAAGGAGCTTGATGCGTTTCTCGGACTCTTTAATAGTGGTCTCAAAGTCGCAAGCCACTGCCTTTTTCCCTTCAAGTAATTCGGTGTTGGGGTAGGCCGATCGTCACCGCTTCCTACTGCCTCTTTTGGCTGCCACCGGGTAATCGAATTGGCTTGAGCTTTTTGTCATCGAGCCATGCAATTTATCCGCTGGCGATGATGTTTTGAGACTTAGATAACGCCGTATACATGCCAGTTAGGGAATTGTAACTGTACCAACGTTGGTCTTGTGGCCTAGGCGGTTTGAGTTGCGCGAGTAATAATCCTTATTATAGAATGATGCGTCAAAGTCAAGACACCGTGTGACTGGGGCTGGGTCTTTCGCTTGTATCTGTGGACCAAGTCATTCAAACACTTGGTGTCGTGGGTCGGCACTGAGTTGCTTTGGCGGTTTTGTAGCGGTCGTGGATGGTGGGCCTGAAGTTGGTGCCGAAGATGCCTTTTTTTTAGGTTTAACTCGTGTTTTACAGTGGTCGCATAAAACCATTGATTCATGAGTTTCTTCGAAACTAGAACTTGTCATGGGTTCATCAATGGCTGACCCTGAAGGCTCTGTGGGTGGTGCATTTGAAAATAAATCAATCTTCAGTCTTGGTTGACCATTCTGCTTACGGACATGCTGCACCGGGACGAATTTGGCCTTTCCTTTTCCTTTGTTTTTAGGGAGGTGAGCATCCACCATACCAATTATTGTTGAGGGGAAGGGATTAACGTCGACTGCCATCTGTTTCTCCGGGAATTTTAGCTTACCCTTCTCGATCCAATTTTGAATCGCGTCACGGAACACAACGCAATTATTGGTAGCATGCTTGTTTGAATTATGGTACTTGCAATATGTCTTGCCCTTCAATTCTTCGACCTTAGGGATGTTGTGTCCTAGCCTAAGTTTGATGATCTTTGCAACCAACAACTGGTCGAAAATTGCATCGGCTTTAGTGATATCGAAAGTGTAAACTTTGATGTTTTACTCATATCCTCGGTGGCCGAGCGGGTCTTGGCGTCTTTAGGACTTACTTGAGCTAATGCCTTGCAAACATATAGTTTATCTATCCCTATTTCAGCCGCATCCACACTGGCATACTTAGGGTCCTCACTTTCGGCCAATGCGTAGCTGATCGTGGGATTCTTGTATAGAGTTCCCTGGGATGGGGACTTCGATATTTTTTCCTCTTAGAGCAAATAATCATACTGCTCAACATGTTGAGCAAGTTCGTACATATCTCGAATATTTTCCCCCAGGAATTTCTTTTTGTATTCCACGTCCAGGCCGTTTAGGGCAATTCTGACGAATTCAACTTCAGGAAGAGGTACTCGGCACCAATTCCTGGTCGACTTGAACCTTGTTAAGTATTCCATCGGTAACTCGTCCGAAGCTTGAGCCATCATGGCCAACGATGAAACGGACATTTTCATCCCTGGTCGATAGAATTATTCATGGAATTTCTTGACCAATTCTTCCCAACTCTAGACAGAGTTTGGTGGAAGATTAATGTACCAAGCAAAAGCTGACCCTGTTAGTGAAAAGTTGAACAGCCGTAGTTTATGAAAGTTACTATTGACGTCCCCACATTGCGCCGTGAACCGAGCTACATGTTCTAACGAGGATAAGGACGACTCTCCAGCGAACAGACTGAAGTCGGGGATCTTGAAGCCCTTAAGGTATTCGAACCTTTCCACATAAGGCGGGTACGGGTGGATGAATTTTGGGAACTTCAGCCCTTTTTTTAGGGCCAAGTCGATCAATCTTTGGACCTCGGTCATATTGACAAATGTTGTTTCTACTCCCTGGTCAGGTTTGTCAGATCTATTGCTTGATCCACCTCTTTTCTCTAAGTCAATTGGTTGTAGCCTAGCAGATCCTTTCTCAGCTTGTAATGGGACATTCGTAAAAGAAGGCTGCCGGGGTTGGCCGACGTGGCCATCTCCGAAGGCTTTACTGACCAACAGTTCAAGCATCCTGGTCTGTGTATCACTGTTGCTTCGTATTGCATCTAATAAATCATTCATTTTCTGGCCAATCGACTACTCAACCTGTCGATATTGTTCATCAAGTCGTCTTCGAAGAAACGACCTAGTTGGCGGATCAGAACCCTCCCCACCATCTTCGTCGCAATCTTCCACTGTTCCTTCAACGAAAATGCCAGCCGTTTGGTTGGGAATGTCTGGATTGCGAGGCTGTTCGCCGAGACAAATTTCCTTATCTCGGCGTGTCGCACTTGTAGCTTCGAGTGGTGCAACAATGATCAGATTTTATGCGTGAGACAAATCTTGCCCAGGGCCTTGCACTGGTAAGTCAGTTGTTGACTTTCCCATGATTGTTTTCTTGTTTACAGACCGTGTCTCAATGGTCATGAACTCCGAAGGTCTAGCACAAGGTCCCACTAAGCGTGCCAACTTGTCGGCCATGCTCGGCCGAGGAGTAAAATTTGTTGATGTTGCGTTGAGCACGTTGCTGACTTCTTTATCTTGCGACTGCGGCCGAGGAAGGAACAAATCTCAGCCTTTGGATTCTCGAGCCTAAAGATAAGGCTGTTAGTTCTGCGAAGTTCACAAACTATTGGCGTCGGATTCGGTCACAGTGATTATATTCGTGAGAGTATAAGCACGCCGAAATGACACCAAACTGTACAGACACAAGTATTCAAAGGTGATGTAGGTCTTGATGGTGAATGTGGTTCAGCCGCCAGAATGTCGAGCTCTGAAACTCACTTGTGAGTATCCAATCATAAAATCACTCGGCGTCCAATACACCGAATGTCGTAACTCGTAACACCTTACTTCGCCGAGAAGGCTAATAAGATGACCTCTGCCAATAAAGATTCGAAAACCCTTCTCGACCGAGACTTAGATAGGTAACCAGTCGCCCTCGACTCAATGATGTTTATCCAAACTGAAGGTGCTCCTCAGTCGGCTGATTTTACGGCAACAGTGTTGTTTACCCAAACTGAAGGTGTTCGCCGGTTGCCTTCACAATGATGTTTATCTAAACTAAAGATGTGTTGGCGAGAAAAAATAACAATAAAAATCTCAAGATGTTTGAGAGGTTTTGCGCAGGGCAGTTGTGGGTTGAATTAGAGGTCCCGAATCGTTGCATGATGTCTTATATTTATAGCACCAACTCCTTCTTGAGATCGAATTTAAACTCATATCTGGATTGGGAGTTCTTGTTTCGTTCCAACTTTGCTTCGAACAACCCTACTCCCATTAGGACTTTGAACTCATCCCTTTTTGGGGCTTTATTCATTGTTGGTCGAGAATCCTAATTGCACTAGGACTTCCTCGATCCCTTTTCTTATCTGAACTACTCTTTCTTGTAATAGGACTCGACCATCCCTGCTGAATGGCCGGGAATCACCAGACAGCTCATAGTATTTTGACACGGCTTTGGGCTGAACACAAACCTACACTCGACCCAACAATATTATTTTGGGCCCAAACAGTTATATAATAAATTTAATTAAAAAAAAAAAAAAAACTAAGCCTCCCGACTTAGGCGCTAGGCCTTACATGCCGCCTGACTAGCGCCTATTCATATAGAGAAAGAAAACCGGGCTACATTATTTTACATTATTTTGTGACAATTTCCAAAGAAAACCATAGTTATTGAAACAAATATTACAGTTGCTCTCGAAGCTTTTTAACAAACTTTTGTATTATTTTGTGACAATCTCCACCAAGCTACTGAAAGCTCGAGGGGAGCTACCATTACTTACAGCAGCTTGTCGAGCAAGATTTTTGAGGACCTTGATTTTCTCTCTCATTTTATTGCTTTCTTTATGCTTCAAAGTCAGTTCCAAGGCCATCATCGCTCCGTCTTTTGTAATGACCCCTCCTTCAACCCCTACTCCAATTTCCCACACTGCCTCTACAGTGTTCATGTTTAGCTTTTGGTCCCCGAAAAATGGCCTGCAAATCATTGGCACACCGCCAACAATGCTCTCCAAAATTGAATTCCACCCGCAATGCGTCACGAAAACCCCAGTCGAGGCATGCCCCAAGATTTGCACTTGTGGTGCCCAAGGAACTATTTTTCCATTTAGGCCACTTTTGTTAAACCCCTTGGGCAATACATCCTCTATGTTGCCCCTAAATGACCAAATAAATGGAAACCCACTTTCTATTAACGCTTGAGCAAATGCTGCCAGCTCGTGAGGTGGTGGTGTTACTACACTTCCAAAGCTAATATATGCAACAGACGCAGGCTTGTGCTTGTCCAGCCACTCTAGGCAACCACTATCATCTTTGATCAACGGCGGGGACGGGGATGATGCTATTAAACTAAAGGGTCCAACGTTGAGGAACTTTTGGAATCTTGATTTGAGCAGGTTCACAACTTCAGGTTCCAGTTCTTCAAAGGAGTTTATGGCAACTGCAGTTGCTTTTGGAAGCGTTTGTCCCATTTGGTATAATAAGCTTCCGACGGGTGACCCCAAGTTTTCTACTACTCCTTCGGGTAGGTCAGGTATTTTAACTTTTGAAAATCCAGGAAGGAAGTCAAGACATTGTTTTCCATCTCCTGAAATGAATTAAAATATTCTAATAATTTATCAATATTCAACGATCTTCTTAGAAGATGAAAATAATTAATATAAGCAACCAATGAATTTATGAGTTATAGATGAAGCTACAGATTCAGAAGAATAAAAATGAATGGTGGACTACATGAATACAATTGTACTAAGTGGTTGAAATATAGAAAATTGAGTGGGGAAGAAAATCTTTGATAAATAGAAACTAGGCCCGGAACTGTAGAAATATTATTCCTTAATCAAACGTGTATACAAGGATTACAACATATAGGTTGGGACCAGGGAGGCGAAGAGGAAGAGGAAGACATGATGTGTAAGGGAGAGATTTTTCAGTGTGATCGGCATATAAGGTGGTACACCATGTGTTACTAGACAAATGGTAGGATTTGTGTGTTAAAAAGTTAATAATTTAAAAAATAAAATTTTCCACCACTTACATAAAAACACTTGATGTACCACCCGTGTTCTTGTCACAATGAAAATTTTCTTAGTGCAAGGAATAAAACCCTAGGCCAAGACACGCGGTGATGATAGAAAAAAAAATGAGGTTGAGAGAGAGAAGAGAACCCTAGGACCTAGTTAGGCTCTGATATCATGTAAAAATATTATTCTTTAATCAAATGTGTATGCAATGATTCTAATATATAGGGTTTTAGATAATACATATGTGCTACGAATCTAAAATATAATTACAATTGAGTTGACCTATATATAATTAGGGCTGGAAAATATTCCCAAAAATTCCAAACCGTACTGAAAAATTCTCGAAACCAAATCGAAAATCTCGAAAATTTTGGTACACATCTCGAACCGATCTCAAACCATTCAGTATGGGAATCAGTCTCGCCATTTGACTCATTCAGTAATCCCGAACAAACCGAAGTTAGAATATATATTGGATTTCAACCCCTATCTCACACTCTATCTCTCATTCAACTCTTGAAGCAGGGCACTAAGCCACCTTTCTCTCTCAACTCGTGAACCCTTTTAGTCTTTCACTTTGAGCCTGAAACTCTCCACCCATCTGATCGAGTCCTGACCTTCACTCTGTCTATCTATCCGAACCTTCACTCGATCACTCTTCACTTATTTACTCTCTGTGTGTGTGCGTACAGAGATTGTGTGAGTTGCTTTCATAACAAATTGAAGTCAACAATTGGTGTGCACTGTGCAAATTTGGAACAAGCAAAGTAATTAAGTAAGGTTGCAACCTGCAAATGCAAGCTGTTTTTAATTGAATTGTGAAAACATTTCGGGAATCCCAATCCATCCTGAAATACCGAAAATATTTCAGGAATCCCAAAAATTGGGAATACTGAAATTTAGATTCAGGATTGGTCTTCAAATTCCTGTTCCAAAAATTTTCGATTTGATATTTGAGATCTCATTTTCGATTTGGGATCCCATACCAAACCATCCCTATATATGATACAAGCAAAAATAAATTAAAGAATAGAATCTAGATGATGATTCTACTTTAATAATAACTCTAATAAAGTAGGGACTAGATTTTGCCTTTTTCTTGTTTTTGGGGGGGGGGGGTGGTTGGTGGTGGGGAGGGGAAGAGTTATTATTTCATTTGAATTATAATGTTGGGGGGGCCGGGGGGAGTTATTATTTCATTTGAATTATAATGTGAACATTTATTTTTATTAATTTACTATAAAAAAGGAGGGGGGGTGGTTGGTGGTGGGGAGGGGAAGAGTTATTATTTCATTTGAATTATAATGTTGGGGGGGGGGGGGCCGGGGGGAGTAAGGAGGGGGGGTGGTTGGTGGTGGGGAGGGGAAGAGTTATTATTTCATTTGAATTATAATGTTGGGGGGGCCGGGGGAAGTTATTATTTCATTTGAATTATAATGTGAACATTTATTTTTATTAATTTACTATAAAAAAGGATAGATCAATCAAATTGTCCACTAATCTGCAAAAATAATTATGCTTATGAACACTAGTACGAGTTAGATATTCACCAGATCTATCTTTATGCTAACAATTAAAATTTAACCCACTAATACTATTGTTTGTTAAAAAATTAACATATCATCCACTCGTGTTAACATGTAAAATTGTAACACCATCTGATGGTCTTCCCGCAACATACTCAAATTACTATTTCTATTTTATAGACAGATCGTGGACAATATGTAGAATTAATATTTCTATTTTATAGTTGACTATTAAATTTACTGTTGAAATTGTTAATACAAATGGAGGTTGAATTTTTCTAGTTTTCATTTCCTAAGCTTACAAACAAACTAAGAATGTGTATAGATTATACGCATATGTGGCAAATTCCCACTCTTTGGACTAGAATTAGAAAGAAATCAAAGAGAAAAATAATAAGTAATGCTAGGGAAACTAAATTTGTAGACAAAATTAACAAACCAAATTAGATGTCACCAATAGAAAATGAGCACGTTTATCAACGATCAAGTAATAATCTAATCATCAATTTTCATATCATTTAGTTTATAAAATTAGATCTACAGATTTAATCTTCCTAATATTATTAAAAAATAATTGAGTCTTCAGTGAATTTTTTCAACCAAGTCAACTAGCTTATGTACATATTTTTTTGGTTGGATTCTTATGTCCATATTTAGTTAACTACAAATGCATGGCATTTATCCTAAATTTCAAAATGGCTATAAGATGCAAAAAAATAAAAATATGTAAGCACCACTTAATTGTGAAGTTTCTAAATAGCAAATGAATCCTTACTGCTGGTTCCAAGTCTATGTCGTATGAAGTCTGTCTCAACATGAACAAGCAGCGAACGTGGTCCACCCGTCCATACCGGCACCCAAGGGACTTTCATCCCCTCCGCCATATCTCCTAAAAACCAGAAGAACGCATCCGACACCAAACACCCGATCTTCAACCCCGTGGCCGCCTCGGCATCTTTTAGACCCCTCATAAAGTTCGCTGGCGCTGCCTTAAAGAAAAACCCAATAGCCACCTCAGGGTTACGAGGGGGCACGAAACCCTCAGGCAACCCATCAGGTATGTCGTGAGCCTTCACATTGTGGAGGCTCAACGACGGTGATTTGGAGAAGAGGGAGGTGTTGACTTTAGAAGTTGTAATAAAGGAGAAGACCACGTGTGGAGCGGCAGCAGCAAGTCTGACGACAAGGCTGAGGAGAGGGCCTGCGTGGGTTCCGAAGGGGAAGGCCAAGACGGCGACATGGTGGGTTGGGGTTTGGGTTTTGAGGTTTCCTACCATGGTTGATATAAGTTGGTGGCTTAGGTGGTCTTGTTTTTTTTGGTGCTGCAGAGACTACTCTATTTATATGAGAGATAGAGAGGTGGAGGCGGGTTGGTTGTTATACGGGAAGGTAGAAAGCAAAGTAATGACCGAAATGGTGGGTATAGATAATTATGGTTGTTTGGAGGCGGGTAGGTTGTTATACGGGTAGGTTGTCACGGCACATTTACAAATAATTTTGGTGGTTAGAAAATGGTAAATCGCAGAAATGGACAGGTACTTGGTTGTCAAACGAACAACGAGTGAAAATTTATTTCCGGAAGAAATTGCACGGTATACATATGTGACAATCATGAAACTGAAATGGGAATTATAACGGTCCAACAACCCAGTATTACACCTCAGCCAAACTATGATAAATTGAATTTCATGCAATTGGAAAAAAATGAAATGATGGGCCTAGCCGAAGGGCCATAGCGGTATTTTCATTTTTTTTATATTGAAAAACAGAGAAATAAATTAGTATCGAACTCGCCATCAATAAGATTCATAATTAAAGTCTCTCTCCTATAAATGGAGAAGAATAGGAATTTTTTTCATGTTTAATAAGGTAAGAATCGGCCACTCATCACTACGGCCTGGTAATATCCTTCTTCACTTCTAATTGAGAGGTTTTATATTCGAATTTCGTGGATGATGAATTAGATACCAAATTACGTTGTCCATTGTGTGGCTTAGTTGAACTCCCCCTTCCCCTCAGCCGACCCCACTTAGTGGAAAAAGTCTTTGTTTTTGTTGTTATTGTTGTAGTATTTAGCCTATTTGTACAATGTTCGCCTCACTAGAATCCCATATCGGATGAGAACAAGAAGGTTTACATGAAGTCTACAAAAGGGAAGTTCTCCCACATCAAGGAAAGACAACTTGGTTGTAATGCCTCTTCCACATAGAAATTAAGATTAGGAGTTTAAAAGAGTTTTTCAATCAAGATTTTAAATGATCATGGAAGTCCACGAGTACGGAATCAACATTTTAAAAGAGTTTATAAAACTCTACAGAAATCAGAGTGTATTCATTCTAGATTTTAAAGTAGTTCATAAAACTCCAAATGTGTTCAATTATGATTGGATTTTGAAGTATTTTAAAAAATAAAATTATAATGAATTTGGAGAGATTTTACAGGGTTTTTAAACTTTAAGAAATCAAACATCAACCCCTAAGATTTCTAATGATTTCACCCATAATTTACATCGAGTGTATGGAACTCCCTTAAATTGCATGATGGTTTTATAAATCTTGTAAAATCTTTGAAAACTCTCATTTAGCAGGAGCAAATCTTCTTCAGCAATACTTGGAGTGATCAATCCCAATAAATGATCAGCTACAACATTCTTGCTACCTTTCTTATCTCGAATCTCCAATTCAAATTCTTGTAAACGAAGTACCCAAGGAATAAAATCAGGCTTAGCATCCTTCTTAGACAACATGTTAGGACCCATCCCTAATTTTACTATGTTTTATTTCTAAAAGAGTGAATTGACCAAAATACCCTAGAGGCAAGATTGTTGACTTCTATTGACCATCCTGTTATGATGCGTATAAACTATTATTTTACCGTATTCTCGAAATACTTGATAGTACGAACGCGTAGGTGCAAGCGGAAGCGAATTCGGAGTTATGACGAAAATTTTACAAACTACTAATGTGATGGGCGATTTGGTAAGTTCACATTTACCCCATTCCCTATTAGCCCCATGTCCTACCCTGTCCAGACCTCTCAGACCCTCTTTTTCTTTAATTTTTTTTTTTTTCGCTTACACTCTCTCTCATCTTAAACTTTCTTCTTCTCAAACTCTCTTTAACACTCTCCCTCTATGCTAATCTAGAGATGCCGAGCCACCACCGCGCAAGGGCGGATCTATTAAGGGACCTAAATGGTCCCGGGACCACTCGAAAGTTTGATTAAGTGGCTGTGAGGGCCTCCAAGGACCACCCAAGTCTAGGCATGTAGTGGAGGGGGAGACTGTGGCTGCATAGCGTTTCTGGTATTCTGCATTCTGAAAACCGGAAGAAGAAGACTAAATGGTTTTGAGCCAAGTCATTTAAGTAAAACGGTGCGTTTGGTTAAATGGTTTGAAAAGACACCCTCATTTGAGCCTATACTAAGGCCCGTTCTTTGATATATAGTTTTTACCATTTTTTATTAAAAAAATTAAAAAAGATTCAAACTTTCTAAGAGATCTTACTTTTCCAATTCCAATACTAACAACCCTAATTGGGTATCCTATTTCCCAATTCCACCCTCTTCCTCCATGACCAAGTCCACAGACAACCAATCAGTTGTCTTTTCTCCACCACCATTTAATCTCTTCATTTTTAAATTTAAGTAAATTTTTCATTTTAGTCTAAATTAATCACGTAGAATGTTAAATTATAGTTATTGTTAATTTATTATGATTTTTTTATATTGTTTGGATCATCTGTTGGTTAGTTCATTTATATTTTTTTACTTCATCGATTGATATGGTTTTTTTTGTTTTGCTTAATTAATGTGTAGAAATTAGGAGTATGAAACTATATTACAAGTAAAAATCATTAGAATATAAAACGTCGTCATAGACAAATTTAGTCTTTATAGCTTGTAATGTTGTTTGTACACATATTATGAATGAAAAATTGTAATTTATCATTTAATTTTTCAAAGTTATATTTTGTCCAATGTTCTAAAAACCGTTAGGCGCTAGCCAGGTGGCGGGCAGGGGCCTAGCACCTAGGCGGCCCTAGACGGATTTATGTAAATTTATTATATATCTTGTAAATAAGTGTCTATATACACTTAAAAAAAAACTATACTTGTATGGATAATAAAAGAATGACAAAATGCAAAAATAGAAGTAGAAGAATACACAAAGTACATCCATCCAACAAGTTCAATATTTAAAAAACAGTAAGCATACAATCATAATGAGGAGTATTCTTGGATGATACATTAAATTCTTCTTGTTCATGATCCTTGTATTGGATTGGACATAGACTAAACTATTTAACGTTGTTGTATCTAGTTTATTTCTTTGCTTTGTAAGTATCCTCTCAAAAGTTCTCCAATTCATTTCACAATTGGATGAACTTGTAGTCAATCCATCATTTGCAAATTAGGTACACCATTTCCACAAGTATACCACCATGAAACTTAAAAAAAAAAAAAAAAAAGAAAAAGAAAAAGAAAAAAAAAGAAAAAACAAACAAACAAACAAACAAATAAACAAACACACAATTAATAAAAACAAAAAAACCAAATCCGTCTAGGACTGCCTAGGTGCCGCCTAGGACAGCCTAGCTCCAAACCGATTTTTTGAAACTATTTGCCCTAAATCAGGATGAGTCTTCATTGCCTAGCACTTCGGCCAATTTTTGGAACATTGATTTCGTCCAATATTATTTGGAGCATTTATATTGGGACCACCCAATATTAAAATCCTGGATCAGCCACTACCACCACACTACTCGCCAGAGTACCACGACACCCCTCTCTCTCTTATTTCTCTACTTTGAAAATCAAACCACCATCATTAACTCGCCCCTCCGGCGAGTGTCACCACCACTATTGCGAACCACCACATCTAGAAACTCAAATCACAAGCAATGATCTCAAACCCAAACATGAAACCTTGCAATGCATAGTGGTCGCTACCACTGTTCACTGTTTTCTCTGACCGACCTTTTCGATTAAGGTAAGCCTCTGGATCTCTCTTACTTTTTCATTTTATGTGAAGGATCTTAAGGTTTTAGACATGTTTTGGTACAGTTTTGGGACAGATAGGACAAAGGGGAGATTTTCCTAGTTTTCTGGGAAGTGAAATCCATGACCACCTAGCTTTTTTTAGGCCATTTTTCTAGCCAACACCAACCATAACTCGGCCCCACTTTGGTATGGTTTTATTCCTTATATTTCTAGCTTCAAATTGGCTTTTTGAATCAACGAGTTTGGTGAAGAATTGAGCTCGGAATGAGCTCTGGAAGTTAGCTTAAAAACCTGCAAAGAACTCGCGAGGAAGGCAAGTACTGTTGTACTTGTGTGTGCGTGGCGAATGCAGCACGTGGCTGCCAGTTCAACCACCTTATGGCGACGCGTAGGTTTCTCGATGTGCCAAACCTGAATTTGCCCTCCGTTTTTCGAAATCGTATTAAAATAATTCATTTATTAGTCGTACCTTGTACGAAAACATGTATTTACGTTATTACGTTATATATTTATGTAAATGGTTTTCTTTCTAGGTGAGATGCATCGCAAGGAACTTCGATGCCTACGAGGCAGGTTCGACTCAACGATATGATTTGTGATTGGGTCTTTGCTTTTAAATATTATATATTTATTTATTTTCCACATATATGTTTTATAAAGAGTTTTCTATTTATGCCTTACACTAACATTTTTTAAGAATTTGCAAAATGACAGAATTTACGATATTATACTAAATCCTACATGATGCACATATATGTGTACTATTATGGGATTTTATTTATGGCCTTTATTAATATTTTATTGAACACTATTATGTCAACTAGAATTATCAATTTACCATTGTATGATCATATTTACGTTACCTGCTCATCGCATGCACTGCTGTTAGTACTCACTAGGGCCATTCTTCACGTGTATGTTCACAATACACCGTACACTCACTTTGGATCTATTGTAGGTGCCAGTCCTGTCCTAGATTGCTATAGGCAATTGGGACTCGTATGTGATGCGCATAAGGTCAGTCTTCAAGTGATTGTAGTACTAGAGCATAAATCATTATTACACCCAGTCCTATTCATGTCAGAATATCTCTACATGAACTTATGTTTCAGCATATGTCGATGAGCATTCAATATGATATGCTCGTTTAGGAAGATATTGTCATTACCGGATTTTATATGCTTTACATGCGGAAATATTATGTATTACTACATTTCGAGATATTATTGTTTACGATAAGATTTTCATACTATATGTAGTATGTATGTTTGGCAATTATACTTGTTTTACAATGAGGGGTTATTACGTTTTCAAAAAGATTTTACAAAGTTTTATTTTTAG